TCTTCCTGTGTGTTTCTTCCTGTGTGTTTCTTCCTGTGTGTTTCTTCCTGTGTGTTTCTTCCTGTGTGTTTCTTCCTGTGTGTTTCTTCCTGTGTCTCTGTGTATCTCTTTTTCTGTATGTCTCTCTTTCTGTCTCTCTCGAGCCTCTCTCTCTAGAGAGTCTCTCTTCCTATCTCTCTTTCTGTGTCTCTCTCGTGCCTCTCTCTCTAGAGAGTCTCTCTGTTTCTGTCCTATCTCTTCTCTTCTCTATATCTACTGTTACTTCACTCTTCTATTGCTGTTCCTCGCTCCGTGTCTCGTCCCGCTCTAATTCTGTTCTTCGTGCTGTGCCTCCCCTCGTGCTGTTCCCCCCTTGTGCTGTGCCTCATCTCGTGCTCTGTCTCCCCTCGTGCCGTGTCTCGTGCTGCCTCTCGCTGCTGTCCTAGATTTCGTAGTTCGTGCCCTACTCCCATTCCCTGCCCATGCCCATGCCCATGCCCATGCCCATACCCATCCCCCCATCATTCTTCTGCCTTGTGCAGAGGTCTGGAGGGGGCTCTACGCCTCCAACAGCAGCTCTCTAAGTTGAGAATGACTCAGTGCCAACCTATCTACACCAACTTAGAGTGACTCGGTGCCCAGCTACCTAGACGCTTCTTTTCAGTGCCTTCCTACCTATACGTTTCTTTTCGGGGCCTTAGGCCCTGCCCGTCAAGGACAGAAAGAACCACCCATCACTTCACTATCCCACTATCCCATACAGCGTAGGCGATCCCTCACCTAATTATAGCACATCATACACGGAGGCACGTTCACCTACCTAGTTACAGTACATCATACAGGGAGGAATGTTCACTATACTTGAGATCCTTGAGATCCTTAGATCTTTTAGGTGTAATACGACCACTATGCATGCATGCTCGTTGCACCTGCATACATTGGATGTATACATGCGTAGCGTAGTGTAGTGTACACCTACCTTAATTATAACAGTTACTAGTTATAACACTTAGGTTACCTAGGTACATACATACCTACCTACCTACCTACCTACCTACCTACCTACCTACCTACCTACCTACCTACCTACCTACCTACCTACCTACCTACCTACCTACCTACCTAC